AACTTCTGAAACCCCTCTCCTCTCTCAACTGCCACGTTATTTATGAAAGTTCCCTAATCATTGGGCAACAGTGAAAACCAGCAGCACACACCACACAAATCGGGCTGGAAATTTAGGTGAAATTTCGGTATTGATCGTCAATATCTCGTGATAAGAAAATTTTAGCTTGAAATCACTCCATTTAATTCTCGGTACATCTTAAATCTATTGATTGAATAAAAAAATATAATATAGAGTAAATGTTGGCTTCGGCACCCATTGACTGTTTTCGGCAACCAAAATTTAAACGTTAATTTCACTATGTTTTCCCATCAACGCACTTCCCTGAATGTGTCCAAACGATTGTTTAGCCTTTCAGCTTCAATCTGATTATATTTGAACGATCGAGCAATCCAGTAATGCTACATTTTTCTTCAAATAAAGCATACGCACTACAAAATGAGGTTGATTTCGAGTTGCCGATAATAGAACAGCTGGTTAACACGCAGTTCTAATGGGAAGGTTGCCGAAGAAAAAGAGACTGCCGACAATAGTCACACTCACCTGAGAAGTTTGGAGTGTTGTAAAAACGCTTTCAAAACGTTTTGAAAAATTCTGTCGATTGGAATGGATAGAGAAGCAAGCAGCAGATGAGTGTAAACAAACAGACACATCATATATGTGCGTGACGCTGAGAAAATGCTAGTAGAAGTGCAGACGCTGCTTAGATTGACGAGAATACGTAAATTCCCCTATATGTTTTTTGTTTTAAGATTTCGTGCGTTTTATGAACGCACATCCATTATTTTGCATAAGAAAACGGGGTGTTACTGTGGTGAAAAGGATTTCCCTACACAGATTTCAGACTCTTGTACCAAGGCACTGAAATTATCAGACGGTACCTCTAATTATGCTTTTAGATTAGCTTTGAAAGTTCATCCTTCTTGGCAAATAATGCCATAGAACGGTTTATAAAATCCCAGATTTTTTGCTGATGGGGGCGAGGCATAGCAAACCGTTCGATTGCATAATTTTCCAAGTAGGAGGGACTTACAATGATTATCTTTAAGCAGTACCCTCGAGTTTTTTTTTCAGTGCTAGGTACTGAAATTTGGCAGTGAGCGTTCAAAAGGGCCTACTTGTAATGGTCGATTCTCTTCATCGATTTTCTCTTTACATTGCTACAGCTAAGCGAAACAATTCAAGCTGAATATTGCATTGGGTCCTATGTAACATTGGCAAGATTCTTCTCGTCGACTTTCTCCTTGAATCCACTCGACCCAAGTATTTTCAGCACACATATCGATAAAAGAAGTTTTTATCTAGAATATAATACGACAAATACAGGAAACGCTTTTGTGCTCAAGTTATTAACGGAAGAGAAAGTAGACGAAGAGAATCGATCAATGCTACTTAGGACCTAATGCAATGTTCAGCTTGTATATTATCTGACATTTGTTCATTGTAGTGCTGTTACAGGTTGTATTGGTTATCAAAAGCAACAGCAAACGCACCGAGAAATGTTAATCCAACACACAAATTCCATTCCTTTTCAGTGCTGATTATTTCTGCCACAGCACGTAAATTTGATCATGGTCTTTTAGAGTTGTTCTGAATCAACAAACATATTTATTATGTTGCAAAGTAGACGTAAAGGTTGAACACGAAAAAATCCGAACACGAAAATCTTGTTTTCGTTAGTAGGTATTTATTATGCTTACTTTAAGATCATTGTTTCAGTCTTCCTTCTTACCATAGGCCATTGCTCGAACATTTCTTCGTACACGGCCCATCATCTTTGGCACGAGCCCTGATCCCACTTGTTTGGCTTCCAAATTCCATTTCCGCTTGAAATCCTTCACGTTAATTGCAGCTCCACCCTTTTTCTTTAGTATGTGCTTCACAATTGACTAGTATTCCTCAATTGGCCTTAGTTCTGGAGTATTGGCCGGATTCATTGGGAATCACTGTGACGCCATTTTCGCTGTACCACTGTTTGGTGAAATTTGAGTAGTGGCAGCTTGCCAAGTCCGGCCAGAATAGGTAATCCACCTCATGCTGCTCCAGAAAAGGCGGTAGTCTCTTTCGTAGGCACTCCTCCTGGTAAATTTGCTGATTCATGGTCCCAGAAGTAACGAAAGTTTAGCTTTTCATCCAACAACTGCAGATTGCTTGGTTTTTTTCCCTTTGTTTTTGTTTTCCGTGGATCTTGTTTGAATTGAACCCAGGCCTGCTGGGGTGAGAGGTGATCACGCCTACCACTACACCAACGGTGCCGCTACCTGCAGATTGCTTGAAAGGCAAGGAATTTTTTGGGGAATTTCGACTTCTTTTTGATTTTACATTCTTCCGGGGCACTTTTCCGGTCAACCGAGTTATAAAATTCCTGCCCAGGAATTTGATCAAAAACTGCCAAATTCAAAAGTTTTGCCAATTCTCGAGCAGATAGACCGGGATTTTTGTTTCGAGTCAGCGTTGTCAGGTCATTTTCTGAAAAATCTGGACCAGTATAAATATAAAATCTGGATAAATCTGGAATGCTCCAAAAAATCCCGTTTTAACATAATGCTACTGAAATCAGAGTGATGTGCCAATCTCTCGTAAAAATCGGTCAGTATAATCATCTGGAATTTATTCAAAGACTACCAGAATGTTTATGAAAACCATGTTTAAAAAAATATATAAAACCGACTTGTTTGCATTTCTAAAATCATCCAAAAGTTAAAAAAAAAGTATTGACACATTGTTCCCAAAATGTTTAAATATCCAATACGCAGCATTTCAATTTTATTTTTTTTTTTTTTTTTTTTTTTTTTTTTAAATACTGCAGAAAATATTTTTAGGATTCTGAAGCAGCAAAGATTCAAGCAACTTTGATGGTATGATTTTTTAAACTAATAGTCGATTTAGTCTTTACTATTTGATGCAGTACCAGAAAATGTCTTAAATATTATATTAGCTGAAGTGAGAATCAAAGCCTAACATCGTGGTACTCACGCACAGTTTACCTAAACTACGGGTTACTGCACATGACCATTACAAATAATTTTATACCAAAGAATAATATTCTCTTCGCTCTTCAGAACGACCGTCACATTCTTCTCAGACTAATCCTCTTCAGTATTTCCTAAATACTCAAGTACTTTGCCAAAGTAGCCTTGGAAGTCTCCCAGAAATGGCCAGATTTCTTAAAACTTGATAAAACTTAATCTCCATAGAAACATTGGACATAACTCCATTGAAATTATTATCACGATTCGTATCAGCATTCTCCTTAAGTTTCATCTTAAGGATTTTCTGTGATTTCTCTTCCGAATTCTAACTAATTTCTTTTTTGACAAAATTTCCATGCAATTGTCATCAGAGTTTGCAAAAGAAAATTTATACCGTCTTCACTTCAATCAAAGGTTGCACAAACTGTATACTTACACTTCACTGTAAACTATTTTTTTTTAGAATTACATTAAAATTCTGAAATCTAGGGCAATTCAGAATTCTAAAGTATTGCAGACTGCTAAGGTAACTCAATATTCACAGGTACTTTAAAAATCTATTTAAAAATCTAATTAATTATCCTCAAACATATCCCGAACATACTTCAAAGTCCTGGTGGTTGTCTAGATTAAAAACCCTTGCTAATTTTCCCAAGCTCAATTTATTGTTTTCAATCCTGAACAGTTTTCGATTTCTCTAAATTCCAAAATCAGGAAAATTCCTCCATATTGAAAAATTGATTTTTATAAATCAAAGTTTCCAAAAAAAATTAATTATAGCCAAAATCTAAACAAAAACTCAAAATAAAAAAATCCTGGCTTGATATTTTAAAAAAGATTAAGATTTTTGACAGCCAATAATGTTTAGAAAATGTCTCAATTTTCATGATTCTGCAACCCATTTCCACAATGTTGTAACAATTAAATGTATGATGTAGCAATAATGTCCAAGGTTGATGGCCTTTAGTAATTAAAGTAGTAAGTTTTTTGATTAGAGGGTCCATTAATTGCAGTGATATTTAAAAAGCAACACATTTTAAAAATCTGGGAAAATCTGGAACATATTTAAAAAATCTGGAAATAAACTTGATCTGTCTGTGTATCTGGCAAGACGACTGAAAAGCTATAAAATCCAGATAAATCTGGAATATTGGCAACGCTGTTTCGAGCGTGCAGTATCGAATTGCGACGTGTTTGCCCTACACGGTAAGAAAAAATACTCAAAATTAAGTTAAGAAAAAAACTCAACGTTGGGTTCTATCATTTGAGGTCCACCGTTGAGTGAATCAGAAAAGCGGCGTTGGTTAAAATTTACTCAACTATTGAGTAATAATAAATGAACTCAAATATAAGTTTATTTTCATTGAGGTTGCTCTTAACCATTTCATTTTCACAAGCGTTGATAGACGAGTGGTCAACACACGGGCCCCGTTATCTCATCGTCCATGGTTCGGTTCCAGTCTGCTCCTTTTTATTATTTTTTGTCAACTTGGTCATCATGATCAGGATTACTCAAAATTGAGTTTTCTTCTTTAACTTAATTTTATCTAGCCCCACGGAAGCCACGCGATGAGTGAAAGGAACTCAATTTTGGGTACTTTTTTCTTACCGTGTAGTGAAGCCATGATGTAAACAAATGAACTTATCTTGACAACCAATGCCTACTGGGATTGTATTTACTCTTAGCTTGATCCAGTGAAATTTTGAAAAAAAAAAATTACTCAAAAAATGCCTTGTTTTTAATGTGTTTGGATTTTTACGTGTTCAACCTTAAATGTTTAATAATAGTTTAAATAAGTGTATTAAATAACCATCCGGTATTCGTTGCATTGCGGTAACACACACACAAAACCTGACGAAGATGTTGTACAAAAAAATTGAAATGTAAGAAATTCTCACTAGCATTAATTGCATATTGATTTTTCAAAAAATCAAAGGAATTATATGAATTGGTTAATTTTATATAACAGGCAAATAACTCAGGTTAACATTACCTCCTCATGAACGGTTTATTTTCGTTGTTTACAGGTAAAACTTCACCCTCCCCCGTGTCCATGCCGATGACCACCATCACGATGAAGCTCGAAGATATTAAGCCGCTCTACACGATTATTTAATAAGTATACGGAACGAGCATACGCAAAAACAAAAGCAAATCAAACAGTTACTGGTAAACCGATTCCGCATAATGAGGTAATCAAAACACTACAATTGTTACCATCTTTAGCTGCATTGCATTGCACTAAATTACTTCCTTAGAGTCTGGCGTTTATAACCAATCAACTTTATCAACATTCGCGGTTCGATTTACTTCATTATACCCCGCATTTCGATTTCGGTAGCCAAATAAAGCGAATATCTACACTTAAGTTCTTTCGAGTGACGCCTTCTGGGCCACCAAACCAGGGTGCATTCCGGTCCTATCAGTAGCTATGTCCACGTTTGCGTATTTTTCCCAATCAATCCAGAGCTTTGCGGTCTATAATTTCCCAATCAATCACCTTGTAATCGAATTAATTTGGCCCATAGCATCGACATCTAAATTAATACATTAGCCAACCGGCATCGTCCTACCCGCGTGCATTATTAAGTTTAATCAGGCTCACTTTCATATAAGGGTTATCTAAAGTACGTGACGATAATGGAAATATTGCCAATGCCAGGTTCCGAGGTGGTTGAGGACCAGGGTTGGACACTCATCTCATTTAAGGGATTGCAGTTCGCGTTATCAGTAAGTCTGCGATCGAACGGGTAATATTACAGCGCGGCAGACGGCCGACAGCAGGAGGCATGTCGCATTCGGATCAGAACTGGACCCTCTAGGTTGAAGACGAACAAATACGAATTTGTGGTTGGTCGGTAGGGGTGTTCAGATTAGTTTCTCAAAGATGGTGGATCTTCATGGCTGATTGCTCATATTGATAAGCAACACACAGACAAAAAGGAAAATTCTCGTTGGACAGAGATTCAACTCTGATGATAATTGAAATATGAACATCTCTAGCAGGACCCATTGACAGTCCACTCGAATAGTCACCATCGAGCATGGGAGAGTGCGAACAAAAACGGAAGAAAAGCGAAATTGAAAAAAAAAAAAATCTAAAGCTACGGCGAAAGGTGATCATCATCCTACCGTGATCGAACAACAAGGCGGCGCAAGGCAGAACACATAAAAAGATGATAATAAAAATGAACGTAAGAAATGGACAAGCAAGCAACCGTATCTCTACAGGGCCATAATTATATGATTAAAACTATATGAATTACGGAAAAACAAATTATTGTATTGTATATTATTATATATGATAACAATTACATAATGAAACTTTGATTAAAAATAATCTGATCGAGTTGAAGACAGAGACAGAGAGAGACAGAGAGCGGTACGGCTAGCAAGAACCAGAACACAGAACTAAAACTCAGCGCAATGAAGCGCCTTCCGGGCTACGTGATATACAAGGTATGGTCGGGTAATGAAGTCATTAAAGATCGAACCGTATAGACTGGGGATCCAAACGAAATATGAAGTCCCCAAAAAGCAGACCTCATGAGCAAGCGTATTAATTTATTAACCATCAATCAATATTTGCAATCAGGTACGGCTTATCAAAACAGAGAGTAAATAATTAAACGAGCTGCGGACAGGTACCGAAATAATGGAAGATTGCGATCCTAAATTTGAAATCTCCAGAAGGTGGTTCACGGTACCACCACTACTAGGCTGCAGCGACACTGCAGCAGCTAAAATGCAATGCAATGAAGAGCGAAGAGTGAAGTTTTCAGAAAACTTGTCTAAATACAGGAATATCGACACCCCCGAAAAGGGGCTGAGCACGGAGGGTTCTACATAGGTACATAGAAAAACAAACAAAAAATCAGCTAAACATTTGTAGCACAACAGAGAGCATATAGGCGTAACTGCTAATATATATTCTGCTAACGAAAGTATATATATTATGTGAATATTAAATGTTTTTTACAGAAAAAAAAAATAAACCAGAATTGTCCTTCCATCCGAAATTCACTCTGGAAGATGCTTAACACCGTGGTTGGTTGGGAGTTACCTACTTTGTCATCCACATTGTGCGTCAAATGCAAGCCACTGAAGTAATATATCCTCATAGCAGGGGTCATCCAACATCGGTCGTCGTTGCTTCCCACACAGTTCCAGGCAAGAAGCTCGATTATCCACACGTTGTTATTTTCGAGCTCGGCTCCATTCTATGTTCACAGTCATGTAAATAATAATCGTCAGCAGCAGCCACCTTGCGCCATCAGTGCAACACGTTTCGATCGAGGGCCTCCTGGTGCGATCTTGGAAAACGGTCTCACACCGGGCTGGCACTGGATCCGAAAATTCAGGTTGATGGCTTGTCAAGAAGGGATTAAGCTGGATTAATCATAGCTTCTCAGGAGGAACATGAAATCGATCAACAAAACTGTTTTCTCCCAACACACCATCATTCGATCACAGCTGTCGCCGTCCTGATTCAAATCAAAGCACAACACACTGCCATAAATGAAGTAATTCACGACCGCTTGACCGGTCGCATTGTACAAAAGATCTTAATTTTAGTTATTCAATATTAGGGTTTGCATACTTTTTCATATCCCGCATTCGGATCATTGTTGAAAATCCCACGAATGTTTTGCTTGGGGTTCTTTTCAGTACAGATCCACCTTGCAACATAACAAACAGCAGTGGCCCATTCGATGATGATGAGCTCATTTTCTAATACCAGCTGACCAAAGTCGTTAAATGGAAACCACATGTCGGTACTTAGTGTTTCTTTCAATATAAGGATTTTAAACCCTGCAATTTTCACTCATTGACTCCTGTTGCAGTGATGACTGATGGGAGAGCGAAAAAACTTTCACGCGGTGCCAAATTAACCACTGATTTACTGGCCGAGGCTCCACTTTTCCTTCGACGCGGAGGCAACAAAAGAAACCTCTGTCATCTGGCTGTTGTTGTGGTTTTCATTTTTGATTGTTGTGCGAAAAAAATTCCAAAAATCTGAGTTTTTTCTTTGCTGTAGAAGAATGGCGTAATTATGCACATTGGACTCCTTGCTTCCGTATTCGGTGACTGGTAAATGAAAACAAATGTTGTTTTCTTCGTTTTTAGTACTGGTAAAACATGATACAATCGGTCCAGTTGGCTATTTTATTTACGATTCTGGAAGAGAAAGATCAGTGTTTCCGTCCCAGTCCGCATCGTGCTCTCTTGCCGTGCGGATCTATTGGATTTTTGCTAAAGGAAGTGTTACTGCTACCTAAAGCTACAACAAATTTAAACAGCACTTTTCAGTGCTCAATATACCAGTAAATTTTCTAGCTCATTCGACTCTTATTTCTCTTCGATCCTTGTTTGGACCCCACCCGTGGTAATCCTGCTTGGATATCGATATGGAAAATTCCTCTTCGATCCTTCAGATTTATGTAGTAACGTGCTTGGAAGTCGATTTGGTTAATAGTGGCGCCTTAACGCAAAAAGGGCAATCTCTTGATCCCCCTTCTGATGAAATTAATTTGAGCAATCAATTCGATTCGCTCACGGATGATTCATCATTCTAATAAACTTTCCCGGTTTAATGCAAAGAAGGAAAAGGTTACCCCTTATTGTGATCAGGGCGTCACAATATCAGCTTCAATCGACCAAATAGATGCGACGAAGAGACTGCTGGCTTTCTTTTTCTGTTAAAGTCGAACAGCTTCGCAGCATTCTAGAACCTCAGTCGGCGTGCACAAACAAATGTTCAATCGCTTGCCTCTCTTTCTCTCGTCGCTCCATTGGTCTTCCTTTCAAGCTTCGTCGAAATGGATGAGCGAAAGAACGCTCGAGTTTGATAGTTTTCTCTTTCATGAAACACATCAACAGAGGTTTCATGACGTATATGACGGAAAATGAAATAACACATTTAAAGCATTTCTCACGTCAAAACACTTGAAGATTACACGTCATATTTCTAATTTATCTTCCATCCATATATTTATCTAAAACAAATGATCGAAAACGGGACCTAACGCATTTTAAACAAATTGAAAGAGCGGTGATAGAGTGTTCGTGAAAGGGGATTGAAAGCCATAATGAAGTTCGTTTAACTAGAAAATCGACGTTAGTTACATTGAAAGCTATGAGCAAAGCAACGACGAGAAGTTCCACAGCCAGCCTTTCCTTCTAAGCGTCCTTCTTTTTTATTTTCGTTTCTTGCTGATAGTCTAGCTAGGCGTTATAGAAATGAAGCGTCGAACACGTATGTATGAGAGAAACAAAACACGAGTTCATTTTAGAGCTTCGAAATTGTAGAGCCCTGATTGTGATAACTACTTCCGATTACCATGCTTTTCGCACGGAACTTTTGAAATTCGTGAAATTTAAGTTTTCACTGCAAATTGTCCATCGGGGTGAATGCCGTGTATTGGCTGAAACCTTGGACGGATTCAAACGTCTTCTCAAGTATCTTACTGAGAAGTAGCACAAAGTTTTTACTCACGACACCAACATTGAACGTCTCTTCAAGGTTGTTTTGAAAGGTCAGCCCAGTGGTGAATCCCTGGATCAGATCAAGAAGGATTGACAAAATTACTTGGAGTTGAACCAATTCAAGTTATCGAAATGAAAATGAAATCCCGTCCAGTTGGTTCGTACAACGGGATTTCTAATGATTTTTATTTAGTTAACTTCAAGTATAGTGATCTAAACAACTTTAAGGCGTTGGAAAAAGCTACGCAAAAGGCGACTGTCCTGTGAAGGAAGATCCTAAAAATTTAAATTGTGGTGAAAATCACAAATCCAATTTTTGGGAATGTAAGACTACACACTACGAAAAAGTAATGTAAATTTCAGTACCCTGAGACCAACACATGCAAGCGGCTCTTTTGACATAAGAATCAGTTGAAAAGGACGAGAAAATCAATTCAATCAATCGGACTTTCCGTCGAGTTGCATATGTTTCAGTTTCAGGACACTTAATTTTACATGACATGTTTGTTTACGTCCCATGATTTACGGTAAAGCTGAATTACGTTTCGTGCAAAAATAGTAATTTCTAAGTGTGTAGCAAAGCGGTCCTACAATTTCGTTCTAAGCGACAGGTAGGAAACGTGCCACGTTCCCGACCAGATCCAAATTTCTTTGTTGTTAACAACGATCAGCGAAGAACAAATTCTACATTCGTACCCATAGTTTTCCTGCTTCAAATTCTTCATGTATACCTGCTGCTAACAATGTTCAGCAAGTAAATAGAGCTGGTAGAAAACGAAATCAAAATTCTAGCCAACATAACTTTAACGAAAATTTTAATGATTTTGGCTTAGGTAACATTACTGCTCATTAATCGACATGATTACTGATATACTAAAAACTAACTCAATGTTTGCTTAAAATACTGAATTGCCAAGACAGGAACAATGTAAAAACACTTAGATATATATCATAACAATTAAGGCTGGTAAGTTACTGTAGTAACTGGAGCACCTAGGTTAAAAATGAAATGTAATTTATTTTGAATTTGGAACAAATAAAGAGTTAAAAAAAAACTCAATGTTTGCTGCTATTCAAACTGGAGTAAAATTTGCGGACAATATCGTCATGACTTTGAAATTCAGTAATGGATTTTAAATCAGTGATGGGCAACTGAACCAACCAGTGCGCACCGTGTGCTGGTTCGTGTTCAAAAAATACTCCTGTGTTTATGTAAGCGTGTACCCTGGTTCGGTTGAGTTTTAGTGTACCAGTGTGTTCTAAATCAAAACCGTGTGCTGGTTTTCGAGTTGATGTTCAGAACCGCAGCTTGAAAACCGAAAACCGGTGTGCTAGAATTTTGGTTTTGGTACACGAGATATAAACCGTGTGCAGGGTTCAATTATATGTTACCAAAACCGGGTATACCGTTCTTGGTTCGGAACATTGGCAAGAATTAAATAGCCGTGCTCCCAAAAAGGTGAATAAAATATTTGTACCAAGCGACAGTTATTAATTCAATTGCCAAATATTTTGATAGACAATATTGGTAGCGAAGGAACTAGAAATCATTTTGAAGTCTGACAAAAACCCTTCGATATGGGTATTTTTGGAGTCCGCGTGACGCCTATAGTCTGGAAATCGATAACCGATACCTTCTTGAAATCCAGAAGGCGGCATCCTGTTGCAGATAAACTGAGAAATCCTGTCAAATACCCTTCGATATGGGTATTTATGGAATCGGGGTGACGTATAAATACCGGAAATCAATGTCTGACGCCATTTTGAAATCCAAGATGGCGGCTTCCGGTTGTAGGAAAACTGGAAAATACTAGCAAATACGCTTCAGTACGGGTATT